TCCCGCCGCCTCCTGCCTCCGTCCCGCAGCGCTGCCCGGTGCTCCGCTGGCTGCCAGGGAAGGCCGTACATCCATGTGTGATGGGACGTTTCTCCCATCTGTATTATTTTGGGGGGCTCTTAAAATATATTGTCCAAGCTGGTATCTTATAAGAAAAAAGGCAAACAAACACCTGTTGACTTCAATAAGGAAAGGATTGAATTCCAGGGAGCTCAGGAAGGACAGTGCTCTGAAATCTCAGTTTGCTATTGGAATCATTACTCGTGATTTTCTTAGCGTGCTCACAGCACTTGGATGCCTCTCATCTGCAGAAACAACAGGGAAGGGATTTGATCCCTCTCCATTTCAAAATACTGATAGAAGCATTTCTCCTGGATTCCAGTTTCTATCACAATACAACTTGACCTCAAGCATCAGTAAAGAATTGATGTTAATCAAGTAAACGAGAAATACATAACCTATAATTTTAACATAATGCAACTGAAAAACTGAGAATTGAAAATGTAAAGAAAGCTTGACTTAGCAGTGTATAGGCAGCCATTTCACACCAACTCTTGAAAATCAGTTTTCCTGAAGAAAAAATAAATGGCACAAAGGCCAGCCAAGATCAAAATCATTTCGTTAAATGAAGATTGCCTGCACACAAAAATTTTATTTTCACAATATTATTCATTTAAATCAGTTGACTATGGAAATATATCCATGACACTTCTTATTACTAACCACCTCCACTCAAAAACATTGGATCAAAGCAGAGGCACCCGTACTTCCTTTCTGGTTCACTGTTTTTCATGTTTTCTCCTGATACGATGTTTGCATTGCAAACTCCTTACTAAGTTCTTTGGGGCATGTGGTTAGTTTTTTAAGCATCAGTGTAAATCACTTAATAGGTTGTTGATGCTTTCCAAGACATAATAATAGTGATTTCAAATCCATGAGTTTAAAGTGTAATGTGCTTCCATCAGGTGAAATCAAACTATTATGAAAATCTACTCATATTGACGTCGTTGAACATACGTTAAATTGTACTGGGGAAGAACGTTTGGCTGTTTGTTTTTTAAAGAGCATCACGACTTGACAGATACTTGCTTCAACAAGTACTGAAGGCTGCAGTAGCAGTGTTAAAATGTGCTAATGCTGAAAACCATTCAAGTAACTTAGTGGTTTAGGATTTATATTGAATGTAAGGACTGTTCCGTGGGAAAGCAGTTTTAGAATGTAAGAGCTGCTCTTGCAAAGCCTATTTCAATTTTCAAGTGTGACAGACATTTGGTTATAGAATTTTTCAAGTAAATGATGGGCACTTCCATGCCCCTCAGGCTGACATGCTTTTGGACAAAAAATTCTTCTCCGTGGGATCTTTACAGGAGGTTAGACATTGCAGATCATTTATTAATTTAAGAGCAATTCAAGCCTGCTGAAAATACACAAAATGACAGAATAAATGGTACAAATAATGTTTTAAATGTTTATTTTAATGAGGGTAGAGTCAACAAATAATCACTGAACCATACAGGTGAAGTAGAAGTGACCTCGAGAGGTCCCTTATTCACTGCCTTTGCTCTGAGATCCAATCAAGTAAACTTAGACCAACCATGACAGCACTGGGTTTAACCCCAAGGTAGAGATTCCACATCCGTCCTCTGCAATCTGTTCAGATCTTTACACTTCCTTATGGCCAAGCAAGTAACAAGTAGAAATATTTTCAACCTACGTTTTCCTTCCTGCAGACTGAGCAGTTTATTGTCTCCCCATGAATCAGTATAAAAAAGGCCCAATTACTGTTCCCTTCTATTATCATCCTTTTGTATGTGTGAAGAGAGGTGCTCCTCTTTACTATCTTCAAAGCAAACACATATTTCTATAACTTTCCCCTTGGTCTTGTTTTCTAAATCCTCAGTCCTCTTCGTTGCTCATCTCCAGGCTTTGTTGCTCACCTCACAGCTAACTTCCCATCTCGCATGGTTTATTGCATAACAAACTGTAACTCAGGACGATGCCGAACACAGTGCAAGGATTATTTCCCTTTGCATCTATGCAGTGCTACTTTTCAGACATGCTAAAATTAGGCATTTTTATAGGAGCATCAGATCATGACTACATGCTCAGTTGGTGATTCACTGCTGCTCGATACTTTCAGCAGTACTGTTGCTCTTCCAGCTATTCGCTAGCAAAGACTTGCAGACCTGATTTCTCCCTTTGAAGCCTGATACTTTGCATATGGTCTGACTTGAATTTCTTTTTAATCAATTCTGCAGTTGTCAAGATAATTTTGACTACTTAACCCATCTTCTAAATTTATTACAACCATTCGCAGATTAAGAAATTCAGCTAATGTTGTGAATTTACTCCCTACTATATCACCATATAACTAATCCAAAAATTTTGTTAATATTGCACAGATCTCTGCATGCCCATCTGTCTTCTCAGCTTGACAGCAAATGCTAACTATAAATGGATTCTTTTTCCAATCGTTCATGCACTGACGTTCTGTTGCTTTGGTCTGGGTTTCCGTAGCCTGTGCACGGCGCTGTCACCCAGCCTGTGTGTCAGGGCTTCTCTCACGTGAAGGCAGATCACACCTGGATGCTTCTGTCCCACTCAGTAGACCAGCTGAGGCCTGACATGATTCAGTATCAATTCTGTTTTCAGGCAAACCCTGTGTGTTTTGGAGCCAGGCTTGCTGTTCGCTGTTGTACCTTATGTTGTATATCATTAATGTTTTTACAAAGCTGGTACCTGGGAAATATTTTGCCTAAACAATGTGTGAAACTACCTCATCTTTAAAAGGAAATATAAGCATGTGCATTGCCTTGACACCGTGCCTCCATGATCGGAATACTACAGAATCCTTTGCATTCACTATCACATACAATTTAGAAAAAACATGGAGTTTCAATAGGCGAATGTGCAGGGACTATGAAAATGGCCCATTCTTCACCACTGCATTTTTCCTGCAATACAGTAACATTGCATTCCCTAACTGAGCTCCCCTCTTGTTTTGATTGACAACAGCCTTTGCTGCAATGAGGATTGTGCTACGGGTGCACTTTACCTGTCAGACAGTTGTCTTAGCTCTAGCACTCCCTCTCAGAAGTAGATAAGGGCTCATGATACACTCGAGTGCATCCTCTGGACGAGAAAATCCAAACATATATTTGCCCACAATTTAGTTAACATTTACAATGCAGCTTAGGATTTACTGTTATAGTCACAGAACATCTGTTCAGCTTTTAAACTCACCCTTCAAAACAGATGTGTAATAAAGTAGTATCTCACCTTATCATTTAGGAGAAGTAACCCATGCAGGCAAGCTGTCTTTCCAGATATGTGAAAGATACAGTTAAAAGTGACAGAGTCGAGGAGCAGGAGCTGCACTGACCCTGTTATCTCCAAAGCACGAGAAGAATTGCTTTTAAATGCAGCAGTTGTGTTTAATTAGGTATTCTGTGGTTAGCTACATCTGAAAAATGTCCGTAGCTGACATTATTCATGTACATAGAGTTTTTAAAGAACAAATAAAGTAAATGTTCTTCAAAATTAAAAGTCCTTAACTTTAACATCGGTATATTTTTTCCAAGATTTTTTTTTCCTTTAATAGGGAACCATATTGGGAAACCATCGGTAATATCCATTGGTAAGGACCCAATTTTGCGTGATAATCCTCTAGAAGATCTTGCCTTGTCAAACTGGAAGGTCAGGAAGGGAAACTTCAGAGGCCTCTGGGGTTAAGCAAGAAGCCCAGCTGGATTTAGCAGTCTGGGTGCTAATGGCTGTGCCAGTTTCCACTGTGTTAGGTAGCCAGATTGTGCTGAGAGCTCAGGGATTCTTGCCTCTCCAGTTAACATGGCAGTACCTTCACAGGCTGAACGGTGTCACAGAAAGAGATGATGATATTTGTTACAGACATCTATGTATTTTTTCATTTTGGGCTGCTTTTGGGGAGATGAAGAGAGCAGCAGTTTCGATGGAGAATGTCCATGGGCAACGCTCTTCACAGATCACCTTGTGTCTCACCTAACAGAATATATTCATTACTGACTTATGGTAAGAGCTAATTGCAAAAGCTGGGCATTACTGATGAGGACTCACTGTCTTGCAAAAAAACCTGGTACCTGGTTCACTGAACTGATAAACGTGATTTTAAATTTAATACCACAAACTCATGCACTTAGTGTCTGCTTGTAAGGGATTTAGCAATACAAGAAAGGGCTCTCAACTAGAGCTAACAAAAGAGGAGAAAAGAACCAGAAGAGGGGCATAAGGCAACTTAAAAATAAATAAATAAATAAAAGTAGTGCAAATCTAGGTGGGACATTTTTAGGGAAGAGGGAAAAGCACTGAGGAAAGCACTCATGACTGCATTTTTTGCCCACATTTAACTGAATGAATATAAATTGGAAAAGGTACAGTGAAGGCCAACTAGTTGATTAGGAAAATTGAATATT